TCCGTCTCAACAGAATCAAAGCCTTCTTTAAATCAATGAACGTTAAGCAGAGCGGCATCTTGAACTCCCGAGAAACCTCAATGAGTTTGGTTATCGTGTGGATATGGTCGATGGTGCTGAATCCTTTGCGGAATCCTGCTTGCTCACATGGTTGTCCTTCATCTAGTGTTCTGCCAATCCTATTCAGGATGACTCGAGTGAACAACTTGTAGATGACAGACAATAGGCAGATTGGGCGATAGTTGCCAATGTCATGGATGTCTCCCTTCTTGAACAGTAGTACGGTCCTGCTGGTTTTCCATTGAGATGGAACCTTGCATTCAGACAGGTAGCGAGTGAAGAGCCGAGCCAGTGTATTGATGAGTACTGACGGCAGGTTCTTCAGGTGTTCAGGTCTGACCTTGTCTGGGCCGGGTGCTGTTTGCTTCTTTACTGACGAAATGGCGTGTCGGATTTCGGAAGGGAGAACGTTGGGAACGACATACCCATCCTGTGGAATTTGGTATGTCGGCAAGTGGACATGGCTATCGAAGAGATTTGAGTAGAAGTCATGGATAATCTTCTCCATTGCCGTTCTGGAGGATGTGATGGATCCATCAGGACGTCGGAGGGCAGTCATCTTGGTCTTATAGTTGGCGAAGGACAGGCGGGCGTTACGAATACTTTTCCCGGCTTCTGCCGCATCTACCAGTACTTCTGCTCTTCTCTCTTTGAGGTCTTCCTTGATCGCATCTCTGCACTGCTTTGCAAGCTCGGACGTTAGCTTGCGGTTGCCTGAGGCATGCGCCAAACCTCGCTGGCGAATTAGCTCAAGAGTTTTCGAAGATAGGCGACTTTTTGTGGCTATCTCTCTCTTGGCGTTCCTCGCACATTCATGGAGGTGCTGAACCAGTCGATCGTATTCCTCATCAATGTTGTCAACAATGGCATCTTCCCATGTTGCCGCAATAGTACCAGAGTTCCCAGTTGGTGGTCGTTCTGGGAGTTCTCTTTTTGAACTTTGCAGCCCTTTCTCCCCGCTCTGTGAAGTAGAATTTTGCACGAAGGAGACGGTGGTCCGATCCCGTTCGAAATTTTGGGACAACAGCGACATCAGTCAGGCAAAACCGTCGATTGAATATGATGTGGTCTATTTCGTTGTGGAATCGTCCACCGGGAGACTCCCATGTCCATCGTTTAGATTCTGCCTTCTGGAACTGCGAGTTACCATGAATGGTCTTGGTCGACATGATGAACTCAGACAGTCTCTCACCCTGTTCGTTCCATTCTAGGCCATGGGTTCCGATGTGAAGTTCTTCAGCTGATCTTCTCGGTCCTATCTTGGCATTAAAATCACCCACAATGATCTTGTAGAAGGTGTGGTCTTCTTTATAGAACTTCTCTAGCTCCATGTAGAACTTCTCGATTTCTCTTTCATCATAATGAGATGTTGGTGCGTAGACAACGAAGATAGAAACTGCAGGCAGTGAGCCACATCTATTCAAATGTAAACGTCCGATTCGGGTTGTTAGGCATTCAAATGAATCAATGCTCTTGGCCAAGTTTGTGTTGATAAGGACACCGACGCCTCCAACACCTCTTTTATCGCATGTTCCGAGGAACAATTCTTCTCCAGTGTCGAAAACGGCATGGTGAGATTCGTGTCTTCTTGTCTCGGTCAGACCAATGATGTCGTACTTGATCATTCGCGCTTGTACCATCAGGTCCTCGATGGATGCATCTGATGCTAGCGTACGTGCATTGAAAGTACAGACGATCATTTTTGTCTTCCTTCGTTGTGGCAGCCTAGGTCGGCCTTGAGATTTTGTCGGCCTCTCCTTTCTCATCCTTCTCAGTGCTGCCATGTCGGTGAAGCCTTCAGGGTCAGGTGAATGAGACCAGTTGTAGTTACTGGTTTTGGCATATCGAATACACAGCGGATAGCTTGCCAGGCTCTTCCGTGCGGGCGGAATACTCTCGGTAGCTTGCCAGTCTTTCCGAGAGGTATAGAGGCTTTTGGGGTGACCTCTAATCACCCTTGTAGGTGTTACCATATTTGAACCCTATCAAATATGGTACGACAATTCCAGAGGACGGGTATTTAGTGTCTTATGATGTGTCGCGCGGCCGCTTGCGGCCGCGCGGGTCCGGAAAGCGTCCTGGAGTGTGGCGACGGCTGGGTAGTAAAAAAATAATTTTCAAAAAATTATATAAAAAAAAAAAGAGGAGAGCCCATGGCTTGCTGGCTGACTGTTCCCCAGAGAACACACATGAAGGAGAGACCGAAGGGGGACGTCTGCAGGCCCAGAAGTGAGCCCGCACCAGGAACCAAATCCTGGCTCTGTACTCATTCAGGAATTACTCCTGGTGGTGCTCTGGGGACCAGATGGGATGCAGGGAATTGAACCTGGGTCAACCGTGTGCAAGGCAAATTCGCCCTAACCTCTGTGTTATGACTCCAGCCTCACGAGCCATAATCTTTATCTTGGGCTTCTGGTTTCCAGACTTGGGAGAAAATTTATCTCCACTGTTGAAGCCCTCAGCAGGTGGTACTTTGTGGAGTGAGTTGGAGCAGACCAGCGCAGGCTGGCACTCAATATACAACAGTCACAGTTACTGTCGCAGTTGCTGATTTCAGTGGCTTTGGACCTTGTACCCACCAAGAGCAAGGGAGGGGGTGGAGGAAGCAGGTTCCTTTTTTTTTTTTTTTAGTGTAGGAGTCGCCTTGCTTGAGCAAATCAACAGGATGACAAGTGATGACAATGTAGGAGTACTGCTATTTATTCAGCCATTGATTGAGCTGATTGAATTGGGCATGAACTCCACGTAACTTTTATTTTTTAAAAAATTTTTTAAATTCAATATCTGTGAGATAGACCACTACAGAGCTGTTCATAATTGGGTCTGAGTCATACCATGATCCAGCACCATCCCTTCACCAGTGTACTGTTTCCCTACCACCATCCCCCACCATTCCGCTCACTCACCCTCCCCCAGTCTTCCTCTATGGGAGGTACTTTCCTTCTGGAGGCATTTTCCTTGACTCTCCAAATCATTTCCTAATCCTAGGCAGGAATCCTCCTGAATTTCTTCCTGGAACTTGCCTCCGGGATTCCTCTCTTCCACCCGTCTACCACAGTCACACAGCGGGGTTGGAGTGCAGCCTGTGAGGAGGTGTGAGTGTGTGTTTGTATGTGTGTGTGAGAGAGAGGGAGAGAAACTTGAAACTTAAGAGGAATTATGTAAAAGGGGGCAAGAAGAGCGAGTCCCTTTTTCAACCGGAAGAACCAGAAGATTAGGCAAGAGAAGGGACTGGTATGACACAGTTGGAAATGATCACTCTGGACAAGAACTGAGTGTTGAAAGCAGGTAAAGAGAAATACCTGATATTGCAGCATCTATTGCAAACCATGATTCCCAAAAGGAAAGAGAGAGAGAAGAAAAGTGTCTGTCGCACAGGCAAGGGGTGGGGGGGGGGGGGTTGGGAGTCAGAGGAAAAAACTGGGAACATTGGTGGTGGAGACTCCTGTATACACAATAGGGCTGCAGTTTTTCATGGAACCGTGGTAAAGCGAGACCCAGCAGTCTCCTACTGAAGACAAGGTCCTGAAATCCGAGTTGGGGCTCCCACACTCCCACTCGTTTCTAACATCCGCATAGAGCAGGCACTTTGTATAAAAAGTAGACCCCAAAAAAAGGACTGAGGGGGGTGGGAGGGATACTGGAATCCGTGGTGGTGGGAAATGGGCACTGGTGGAGGGATGGGTATTTGGTCATTGTATAATTGAAACCCAATCACAAAAATGTGTAAGTCTGCAACTGTACCTCATGATGTCTCACTATTAAAAATTTTTTTAATTAAAAAAAACAAAAAAAGGACTGAAAACGCGCCACCGAGCCGCCAAAGCGAGAGACTAGGCCCAATAGCGCCCCCTTGCGGTGCCCCGCGCCAAGCAACCGGCTGTTGGAAATAGCCTCGCAGCGCCACCAACACCGAGCGCTGGGTGGCACCAAGAATCCCGAGTTTCTAGGGCTGGCGATTTTGCACCGAGCCCCACCCACTAGTAGAGAGCAAGCACTGAGCCCAGAGTGGGGAAGGAACCTGTCCAGAGGGTTCTGGAAATTCCCTACAAGGGCTTAGGGAGGCGGTTTTAGACCCTCTAGAGACCCATCGCGAAGCAAAACAGGCATCCTCTATTTCCTTAGGGCCAGTGTGTAAAGGCGGCGGTGGAGGTGGGGCCAACGGGGATGGGGCACCCCAGTCTCCTTGTGGCCCAGCAAGAACTGGAACCCGGATAAACTGACCCCAGCTACGGTGCCTCGAGGCGCTCGAGAAGTGATACACAGAGCCGCGCAGCAGGACACAGAGATCAGGTCGTACGCTCACACCCAGGCGCTTCGGGTCTCCCAACAAAGAGAGCTAATTTCCGGGACCGAGCCCTCTGCGCCGGGGTCCGGCAGCTCCCCGGGTCTCAGCCCTGCAGAAGGAGCGGGGTCGCAGGGCGCGGAGGAGAGGGGCGTGGCACGACGGAGAAGGAGGCGTGACGAGGCGGTGAGAGGGCGTGGTGTGACGGAGAGGGCTGGGCATGGGGCGTGGCTTCCGTGAAGAGGCGTGGCTAAGCGAATGAAACAACTGGGAGGGAGAGGCGGATGGGGGCTGGCTGCCGGAGAAGGAGCGAAGAGGAAGGGGGCGTGGCGTTGCGGGGAGGGGGCAGAGCAAAAAAGGGCGTGTTGGCCGGTGGAGGCGTGGCTGCGGAGAACTGAGCGGAAAGGGGGCTTGGCGAGGAGATGCCGAAGAGGCCAAGGTTGCGGAGGGCGGAGCGGAAAGGGGGCGTGGCGCGGCGAGTAGGGGGCGGAGCAAGGAGGGGAGTGCGTGGCCGATGGGGGCGTGGCTTAGGAGTGTGCGAAGCAGAGAGGGGGCGTGGCGTAGTGGGAAGGGGCGGAGCAAAGAGGGGCGTGCAGGGCTAGTGGGGCGTGGCGTTGCCTGGGGGTGTGGCCGGGCGGGGCGGGGCTCCCAGGACTTGCGCTCGGAGACTGGGCGCTCAAGTCGTGCTGCAGGTGACTGGCACTCTGTCTTGCTGGACTTTTCTGGATCCCCCAAACTCCGACCCGAAATGACGGCGGCCAAGCGGACGGCGAAGGTAACTGTATCCCGGCTTCCCCGGCCTCCCCATCCCCGCTTCCCTCCATCGCTGTGTCTAGGGGCTGGCCCCGAACCAATGGTTCTTCCTTTCCTGTGCCCTCCGCAGAGGCTAGAGAGACTCTCCAGCTGGAGTTTGAGGGGTGGCTGGGCCAGGAGTCTATCAGACAGCGCGGGGAGGGCGTCCCTAGCTCCCCGAACGGCGCTGCGGATAGGGATGAGCGAACTCCCCCGTCCTCCCCTACCCCCCCCCCCCGCTTTGTTTCAGTTTCATTTCCCCCCGAACCTGAAACTTAGCGATTAGCCAGTCTCAGTCACCGGAAAGGGTTCCTTGGAGAACCGAGATAAGCTAAGCAGGACAAAACCCCAGCCCTTCACCCTACAGGCACTGCGACCTGTCCGCGCTGCACAGTTCCCTGGATATTTCAGCACAGGCAGTACTGCCAAGGGGGTCTTGGAAAGTGTTACCCATAATGAATGCCTGACTTTGCTGGCTTCCTTCTAGGAGATAGGCTGAGATGGGCAGAAATCATGCTTCCTTGAGCTTTCATTCTCACCAGGGGCTTATTTATTTATTTTGATTTGTTTTGGGGTCACACCCAGCGGTGAAGCTTACTCGTGACTTCTGTGCTCAGGGAATCACAGCTTGGGGGAGCAGGGAGATCTCAGGGAATCAGCCAGGATTGAACCTGGGTCGGTGGAGTGTGCAAGGCAAGTGCTTTTTTCCGCTGTACTATCTTTTCGGTCCCAACCTGATGTACTTCAGCATCAAAAAGGCTCCCAGGATGCCAGGGAGAAGAATTGGGGACTGGAGCACGTGCAGTGTGCATGGGAGTTCCAGGTCCCATTCCCAGCACCACATGATCCCTGATAATGACATAAAAATGGTCAGTGTCATTGTAGTTTAGGGACCATGGTAACAATCCTGGTATGACAAGTCCCCCTGGGCTGAGGTCTGTCAGTCTTCTCCAGGGTGGGGATGGCGAGGAGTGTTGGCTGTCACCAGCAGGGACACAGTTTATGTCTCAGGGTCAGTGATGGGAATGGAAGGAGGGAGGGCACGAAGAACTCATGGCTCCCAGCAGGCAGACTGAGGTGATGCAGCTGCGTGCCGGGTTCAGTTAGCCTTTTTCGCCTCCCAGGCTCTTGTTTGTGGGAGCCGAGCTCAGCGTGCACCCAGAGTGGGGCAGGCTCCCTGCCGCCAACACTCAGCATCACGCCTGTGTCTGCCTAAGTGCTCAGCTGTCGGGCTCTGCCTTTGCTGCTTCTGCTCCCTAAAGAGGTTCTGGGTGGGACCCAGAAGGGCGTGCTGTTGGGGTTGAAGTGGGGAAGGCTAGTCTCAAGGACCCCTCGTTGCTTCCCCTCTAGGAGCTGGAGGACCTTCAGCAGGAGCTTCCCCCGTACCTGCGGGACCTGACCTACAACCCTACCAACGTGCTGGAATGGCACATGCTGCTGTTGCCTGTGAGTATCTGCTGGCACCAACACCTTGGGTGGGGAGAGCTGGGAAGAAGCCGCTGGAGCCATAGCACATGCAGTGTGTTATCCTGGGGCTGGAGCGATAGCACAGCAGGTAGGGCATTTGCCTTGCCCATGACCAACCTGGGTTCGATCCCTGGCATCCCATATGGTACCCCAAGCACCGCCAGGAGTAATTCCTGAGCGCAGAGCCAGGAGTAACCCCTGAGCATCGCCGGGTGTGACCCCCCCCCAAAAAAAAAGAAAAGAAAAGAAGCAACCCGACCTTGAGTTTTTGTTCAGCTGGAGGTGTTCAGTGGTGGCAGTGGGGCCTCCCTTCTGGTTTCTTCTGAGATCAAGGCCAGCTGATGACAGGCTGATGACTTTTTGGTTATTATTTTGGCTTTTTGGGTTTGTTTTGGGGGCCACACCCGGTGGTGCTCAGGGCTTACACCTGGCTCTGTGGTCAGGAAGCATTTTTTGGTGGAGCTCTGGGGACCATATGGGGTGCTGGGGATTAGCTGTGTGCAAGACTAGGGTCCTGTCTGCTGCACTATTGCTCTAGCCCTTGGCCTCTGCGCTCTTTTTTTCTTTTACTTATTTTTTTTTAAATTTTTATTAGTGAAACACCATGAGGTACAGTTGTAGACTTACAAATTTTTGTGCTTGGGTTTCAATTACACAATGATCAAATACCCATCCCTCCACCAGTGCCCGTTCTCCATCACCAAGGATCCCAGTATCCCTCCCACCCCACATCCCCCCATCCCCCCTGCCTCTGTGGCAGGGCATTCCCTTTTGTTCTCTCTCTCATTTTGGGTGTTGTGGTCCGCAAAAGAGGCATTGAGTGGCAATCATGTTCAGTGTATAGTCTACTCTCAGCATGCTTCTCCCATCCTGGGAGGATCCTCCCAACACCCTCTATTTGGTGTTCCTTTCTCTATCTGAGCTCCCTTTTGCCCTAGCATGTGTGGCTGGCCTCCAAGCCATGGAGTAAACCTCCTGGTACTTATCTTGACTATTTTTGGGTGTTAGTCTCCTATTTTGTTACTTTATGTTCCCCAGATGAATGCAAGGGCTTTCAGTTCCGAGTACACATCCCAAAGCAGATTTATGGGGTTTGGTGATAATTTTACAGGAAACTTTGTTGTCATTTTAGGTCACACCCAGGTGGGTGGAGGGTTTACTTTTGTCTCTACACTCAGAGATCACACCTGACAGTGCTTAGGGACCCCATGGAGTACCAGGGATTGAACCCGAGTCTGCTGCATACAAGACAAGTACCCACCAAGAAACTAACTCCATCTTCCACCACAACAACCCCCAATGGATATTCCCAAGGTCCTGATTTCTCCCAATTTCCTCTTTTGCTCCTTTCTTTTTTTTTTTTCCTCCATTTTGGGTCATACTGGCGATGCACAAGAGTTATTCCTGGCTCTGCACTGAGGAATTACTCCTTGCGGTGCTTGGGGGACTATATGGGATGCCGGGGATCAAACCCAGGTTGGCCATGTGCAAGGCAAATGCCCTACCTGCTGTGCTATCGCTCCAGCCCCAGGATAACACACTGCATGTGCTATGGCTCCAGCGGCAAATGCCCTACCCGCTGTCCTTTGCTCCTTTCTGCGCTCTCCTAAAATCAATGTTTCTCCTCCTGGACTTGATGACTGCTTCCAAAGAGGGAAGTTTCTGGGGCTGGAGCAATAGCACAGGCGGTAGGGCATTTGCCTTGCACGCGGTCAACCCGGGTTCAATTTCCAGCATCCCATATGGTCCCCTGAGCACTTCCAGGGGTGATTCCTGAGTGCAGAGCCAGGAGTGACCCCTGGGCATTGCCGGGTTTGACCCAAAAAGCAAAAAAAAAAAAAAAACAAAAAAACCAGAGGGAAGTTTCTCACAGTCTCTTCTAAGTCTCAGAATGGATTGAAAGGAGAGATGGTATTTTCGAGCTCATCAAGTGACATGGCCCCATTTTTCTGGGGAGAAAACTGAGGTCTAAAGGAAGTCCGCTTGGGGGCTGGAGCGGTAGCACAGCAGGTAGGGCGTTTGCCTTGCACGCGGCTGACCCGGGTTCGATTCCCAGCATCCCATATCGTCCCTCGAGCATCACCAGGAGTAATTCCTGAGTTCAGAACCAAGAGTAACCCCTGAGAATCTCCGGGTGTGACCCAAAAAGCAAAAAAATATAAAATAAAAATAAAGGAAAGCCGCTCTCCAGGGGTCCTGCAGGACCAGAGCATGGTGGCTCCCAGCCCTGTGCTTTACGGTGGCTGTTCTCAGTGGTCCAGTGAAACATTCACTGTACTCGATTGTTTGGTTTGGCTTGGTTTGGGGGCCACAATTTGCAATGCTCCGGGGTGACTCCTGGCTCTGTGTACTGGTATTATACTTGGCGGTGCTAAAGGGATCCTATGGGTTGCTGGGGACTGAACTCAAGACAAACACACTTTTCCACTGTTCCACAATCACTCTGGCCCCACTGTTCATGATTCTTCTTGGGAGTGGAGGCTCGGCTCCCTAGGATGGGGCAGGGGAAGGGAGAGGCGGGGAGAATGAGCCTTTCAGCGCAGCTGGACCTCGGAACACAGCTTGATCCTCACTGTCTCACCCAGGAGCGATCTCCTTACAACCTCAAGGCCTTCAAGCTGTGCATCACATTCCCCCGGGCTTACCCACTTATGCCCCCCAGCGTGGCATTCACAACCCCGATCTACCACCCTTCAGTGGACGACAGTGGACAGGTGTGCCTGGCCATCACCAGCGATGAAAACTGGAATCTTCACAAGAAGGCCTACCAAGGTGGGTTGGGCCTTGTTTCATGAAGGGCCAGGGGACACGAGACTGGGCGTTTGACTCAATAGCCGGATTCATGCCTTGCGTGTGTGTGCGTGCTGATGCAAATACATCACAAATAAAGGGGGCATTGAGACCAGGTGGGGGTTACTGGACTGATGTGAGATGTAGCAGAGCCCCCAAAAGAAGATAGGAAGAGTAAGATTCCCCACTGAGCCTGCGATGAGATGGATGAGATGGTTCTGGCTGTTTGTTTTTGTTGGGGGGGGGGAGGGAAGGGGGAGGATACACCATGCAGTACTCAGGGCTTAGTCCTGGCTCGATGCTCAGGGGTCACTCCCAGTGGTGCTCAGGGGACCACCTATGATGCCGAAGGTTGTTGAGTACCTGATACATGGCTACTGATTTTTTTTTTTCTTTTTGGGTCACATCCAGCACCGGGATTACTCCTGACTCTGCACTCAAGAATTAACTCCTAACAGTGCTCAGGGGACCCTATGGGATGCTGGGAATCAAACCTGGGTTGGCTGCATGCAAGGCAAACGCCCTCCCCGCTGTGCTATCACTCCAGCCCCAGCTACTGATTTCTTAAGTGTGTTTAATGAATTGATAACCAGGCAGGGCTAGTGGACAATATGGTTATCAGACAATATGGTTCTAAAACCTATGTAGTGTCGGATCTAGCCTAGACCAGTTCAGGAGTTCTGATTTATGTCTTCTTTTTTGCTTGTTTGTGTTTTGGGCCACACACTGCAGTGCTCAGGGCTTATTCCTGGCTTTGCGCTCAGGGATCACTATTGGAGGCCTTGGGGGATCATCTGGGGTGCCGGGCATTGAATCTGGGTTGGACACATGCAAGGCAAGCGCCCTACCCACTGTGGTTTCCGATCCCTTGTGCCTTCTTTTCACAAGGGCCAGCCCTAGTGGTGTTGTACAGGGTCAAGGCTATACCTGCTGGTATATGCCTCCTGGCAGTTTGGTGCTCTGGCCTGGGCTCAGTGAAGTAAGGGTCCACTCAGAGCTGACCAGGGCTTGGTGCTGGGGATCCAACTCAGGGCCTTAACTTGCTGTTTGTGCTCTGTGGCTGAGCTGTCCCCCAGCTCAGGGACAAGGGTCCTGGGGAAGGTAGGTAGGGGTGATCTTTTTTTTTTCTTTTAATTTTTTCTTTTCTTTTCTTTTATTGGACAGTGCTACAGTGCTATTTTATTGAATCACCGTGAGATACAGTTATAAGCTTTCATGTTTGAGTTACAATCATACAATGTTCAAACACCCATCCCTCCACCAGTGCACATTCCCCACTACCAATCTCCCCAGCATACCCCACCTTTCCCACCCTCCTCCTGCCTCCCTGGCGGATAATTTCCCACATACTCTCTCTCTACTTTCAGGCATTTTGGTTTGCAGCACAGATACTGAGAGGCCATCACTTTTGGTTCTTTATCTACTTTCAGCACACATCTTCCATCTCGACTGATCCTTCCAACCATCATTGACTTAGTGATCCCTTCTCCATTCCATCTGCTTTCCCCCCCAGCTCATGAGGCCGGCTTCCAACTATGGGGCAATCTTCCTGGCCCTTGTGTCTACTGTCCTTGGGTGTCATTTTCATGTTATTTTATACTCCGCAAATGAGTACAGTCCTTCTATGTCTGCCGGTCTCTTTCTGACTCATTTCACTTAGCATGATACTCTCCATATCTATCCATTTATAAGCAAATTTCATGACTTCATCTCTCCTAACAGATGCATAGTATTCCATTGTGTAGATTTAAGTAGGGGTGGTCCTTGGGCAGTCCTTGGGGCCTCAGAAGCATCTTTTTTTTTTTTTTTTGCTTCTTGGGTCACACCCAGTGATGCTTAGGGGTTCCTCCTGTCCTCCTGGCTCTGCACTCAGGAATTACTCCTGGTGGTGCTTGGGGATATGGGATGCTGGGAATCGAACCTGGGACTGCCATGTGCAAGGCAAGCGCCCTACCCGCTGTGCTATCACTCCAGCCTCTCAGAAGCATCTTTGCTCACAACTGTATATGTAATCTTTTTGGGTCATACCCAGCGATGATCTGGGGTTACTCCTGGCTCTGCACTCAAGAATTATTCCTGGTGGTGCTCTGAGGACCACATCGGATGCTGGGGATTGAACCTGGGTCGGCTGCGTGCAAGGCAAACACCCTCCCCGCTGTACTATCTCTCAGGCCCCACAACATTAAGCTTTTATGGGCACATCTGTGCAGCTTCCTGGGGCCGGAGCTTCCCCAGGTTCTCAGCAGTCTCTGGGAAAGACTAAAAACTCGATGGTAATCTTTCGTCTCAGAAACCTCCTCCCCAAACAGAAGCATTTTTTGGAATCCAAACATCAAACAGAGCAAAAATAGTGGTTCTTGTTGGAAGAAAGTGGGACCCACCAACCCCCTCCATCTCACTGCCCACCAGTGAGCCTTGAAAGGTAGATGGGAAAGCCCTGATATAGGCAGATGGGATTGTGCATACCTGGGTGGGTCAGGGACCATCTTAAAGATGGAGCCTCCTAGCGGCTGGAGCGATAGCACAGTGGGTAGGGTGTTTGCCTTGCAAGCAGCCGACCCGGGTTTGATTCCCAGCATCCCATATGGTGCCCTGAGAACTGCTAGGAGTAATTCCTGAGTGCAGAGCCAGGAACAACCCCTGTGCATTGCTGGGTATGACCCCAAAAGCAAAACAACAACAACAAAAAAAAACAGCCAAAAAAGATGGAGCCTGCCACGTCCGGCGCTGCGGGGTCGAGCCAGGGGAGGGCCGTCAGGGTGAAATCAGCACTCGAGTCACACAGGGTTCCGTCATTCAGGAGATGGCATGAATGCGTGCGTGCGTTTATTCAGAGCACAGGTACAGACTTAAGTATGTTTCCACAACCCACCCAAAAGAAAGGAAAGGGGATGGGACGTGGGAAAGGGGATGGGACGATGAATAGAGCCATGCACCGTTGGTCAGTCACAGTGGGCAGAGCCATGCACCGTTGGTCAGCCACCTGGTGACCCTTTCGACCTAATGCTACGGGTCGGAGCGGCCTGCTTTGTCACAGTTTTGACATATCCATAGAGACTGTGCTGTTCCTCATACATCATTTACAAATCATTTACGAGGGTGCATTTTCCCCAAACTGAAACGTCCTGTACTGGGAAGCTGCCCAGCTTTGTTCCCCAAACTGAAACGTCCTGTACTGGGAAGTTGCCCAGCTTTGAGCAGGACAAAGGGGGAATGAAAAATCAAGCATTCTTTTACTTGGTCAGTAGGCAACAGGAACCTCCTAGAACCTGAGTGAATAGTGCAATGGGGAAGGTGCTGGCCTTGCACATGGCTGACCTGGGTTCGATCCCCGACATGATCCCTGACATCTCATATGGCCCCCTGAGCACAGCCAGGAGTAATTCCTGAATGGAGAGCCAGGAGTAACCCCTGAGCATCTCCAGGTGTGACCCAGGTCCCATTCTCTCCGCAACCCACAAAAAAAAAAAAAGAAAAAAGAGAGAGATGGAACTTCCTGCTCCGCCTCTCCCCGCCCCAGCCAGGAAGTGAGTAGGGGGTTGTGGAGAAGATGGCCCTCCCCTTCTTGCCCAAGGGCTTGCACTTGCCTTTCTCTCCCCTCTGATGTGCCTCGTGTACCTTCCCCACCAGTCTTGGATGCTGTCAACACGCTGGTGAATCACCCGGAGTCAGGGGAGCCCCTGCAGTTGGCCCTGGCCGAAGAGTTGGAGAAGGACCCGGAGCTGTTCAACAGGCATGCAGAAGAGCACACCCTCGAGAATGGTGTGGAGCGGCCCAGCTAAATCGGCCCAGACCCTCTCTGCATTCATCCCCCTGGATCGGCTAGGGGTCTTTGGTCTTGGCCGAGTCCCTGTTTATTGTCTTTCTTTCTTACCATGTGACTGACTGCTCAGTCAGTGTGTGTGTGTGTGTGTGTGTGTGTGTGTGTGTGTGTGTGTGTGTGTAGGGGAGCGGTGGTGGGGGCATTTATGGTGTGTGGACCCACATGTCCAGTTTTCCTGGCCAAAGGCGAGCTACTTTTTGTTCACTCCCATCCTCTGCCCCGAGCTGGGGGATTTAATTGGAAGCTCCAGGCTCTCTGCTATGGGATTCTGGTTTCTTTAGATGCCGTCTTAGAGATGCGGGACCCTTCTAGATTAGCTTGCAGGACATGAGCCCCACAGCCGACTGTTACCCTCCCACTCCACCCCCTCCTCCTGGAACCCGCCCATCCTAGAGAGCCAGGGGGCAGGATGGGTAGGAGCTGGGATGCAGGGAGAGATTGTAATTCTGATTGGGTGCTTTGTGTTTGGGTGGAGGCAGCCTGAGAGACACCCGTCCATGGGAAGCTGCTCCTTTACCGTGGCCAAGTCCCACAATGAAACTATAATCTCTCCAGAAACCAGACTACACGGCTGCTCATTGGGGGTTGAGGAGCTGGGGACCAGGGGGACTCTCACCGTCTTCCTAACCCAGGGGATGGCGGAACACTGTGTGCTTGCCTGGCCTTTGCGTCCAGGGGGACCCTGGTATCCCGCCGAGTGTTTGTGGACTCAGCTTGTGTGCAGTGAAAAGTGTGGCCTCGTGTGGGCAAAAGAGAGAGCTTAGCGGATGGGGCGCTGGCCTGCACAAGGCTGATTCTGGTTTGATCCCCAGCATCCTATAAGACTTAGAGACTATAAAACCCAGCTCCCGGAAGAGAACAGCAGAGAGTCTCCTGCCCCCGCACCTGGCTGTTCTTGCCGGGGCCCCTTGGAGGGAGTGGGTTGAGTTTCCCTCCCCGCCCCGACAAGCAGCCGAAGACCTCCACAACCAGCCGCCACCATGCTGAGACCACTCTCCGCACACATAAAGGTACTGGCAGAGGGACAAAGCCACGCGGGTTCCGGGGGCCGAGATCTCCAAGTCTACTCGGATTGGGGCTTGGCATCCTCCACCCAGATCCTCCAAATTCCAGTAGGCGGGGGCCACACCCACCACCTGGCCCCCTGGCGCCGTGTAATCCCATCAACAGCCAAGACTTAGAGACTGTAAAACCCAGGTCCCAGAAGCACGCGGCTGCAAATGCGGCCGTGCGACATTTTATTATCTCATTCCTACTTTGGACAAACTGGCAGGCTACCGAATGTAACCTGCCCATGCGGCAGAGTCTGGCAAACTCCCCGTGGCGTACCCAATATGCCAAATACCAGTAACAATGATGGGTCTCATTCTCCTAATCCTGAAAGAGCCTTGAATATGGCACTTTTTAAAAAAAATCTCAGGGCTAGGAGGAAGGAGACATAACTGGGGCCTGCTCGAGGCAATCGCTGAACAACAGGATGGTTGTGATCGTGATCGTGATACCTCCAGGGCATTGGAAATCCCTCTAGTTCCTTTCAGAGGCTACCCTGAGGCTCAGAGAGGGAAAGCCACTGGTCTTAGGTCACACAGCAGACCACTGGGGCACCCACACTGAGCTCCACCCCCAAATACCTCTCTGGGTTATGAGTGGAGGATCCCCCTGAGAGATTCTGGCCACCACCAGTATGGGAGATTCCCAGGCTGGGGAGGAAGGAAGCAGGGAGGGACCAGACAAGATTTTTTTTTTTTTTTTTTACAAAAGGACTTTTACTAACAGTTAAGGCCAGTTCCACCCACCCTTGGCTGCAACATGTCCACCTCTGTCCGCCGGGCCAGGCCAGGCCTCATTTCTTCTTGGTCTTCACCAGCCCCTTCTGCACGAGGCTGCGATAGAGCTCCTGGATGTAGGTGTAGACGCACTTGGAGTCAGGCACTGCCAGCCGCACCATGTCATCCACCTCCAGCAGCTGGGCACAGTCGGCCATCGTCCTGAGGGGGGACAGGGTGCGTGAGGGGCCGAGAGCAGAGGGACAGGGGCAGCCCCCTAGACCGAGACCTTCAGAACTCTGGATGTCGACCCTGACGGTCTTTGAGGCCATTGTACAGAGTTGGTGAAGACTCAGACTCAGCTTGGCCTCGTTGCAAAGCCCATACTTTCTTTTTTTAAGGTGGAGTGTTGGGGGGTTGTACCGTAACTGATGGTGCTCAGGGGTTATTCCTGGCTCTGTGCTCAGGGCTCACTCCTGGCAGTGCTTGGGGGATCTTATGGGACACTGGGGATTGAACTCAGGTAGACACATGTAAGGAGATGCCCTACCCATTATATAATTACTTCAGCCCCTGTTCTAAGTTTTGTAGCTGCAACACCTCCCTCTTAATCTCGGTGCATTTATCAAGCATGTCCTATGTGCAAGACACTTGTCAGGGGGAGTTTCACATGAAACAAACCCAAAACTTTTCTTAGCACAGCGGGTAAGGCGTTTGCCTTGCAAGTGGCCAACATGGCCAACCCGAGTTCAATTCCTCCGCCCCTCTCGGAGAGCCCGGCAAGCTACCGAGAGTATCTCGCCCGCACGGCAAAGCCTGGCAAGCTCCCCGTGACATGTTCGATATGCCAAACACAGTAACAATTGTCACAATGGAGACATTACTGGGCCCACTCAAGCAAATCGATGAACAACGGGAGGACAGTGACAGAGTGACAGTGTTTTTGGGGGTCACACCTGATGCAGTGCTCGGCGGACCATATGGGATGCCAGGGATCCAACCCAGGTAGGTCAGCCTTGTGTGAAGCAAAAGCCCTACCTGCTGTACTATTGGTCCAGCCCTGAAATAAACCCAAGACTTTTTCACTCTCAAGCCATGTGAGTGGTCCAGGCCATGCAATGCATAGCCCCTCAGAGGGCGACTGTGGCTGCAGAAAATATGGCAGGAGAGGCTGGAGCAATGGTGCAGTGGGGAGGGTGTTCTCCCTCCACATGGATGCCCAGGTACAATCCTCTGTGCCCCAGATGGTCCCCCAAGTGTTCCAGGAGTGATCCCTGAGCACAGAGCTGGACACAGCCAGGTGTGGTCCAGCATCCTGTCCCAAAAGAAGAGAAGAGAGAAAGGAGAAAGAAAGAAAGAAAGAAAGAAAGAAAGGAAGGAAAGAAAAAAGGAAGGAGGGAGGGAGAGAAGGAGGGAAAGAAGGAAAGAAAGGAAGGAAAGAAGGAAGGAAGAAAAAAAGAAGAAAGGAAAAAAGGAGGGAAGGAGGGAAAGAAAGAAAAAAAGGAAGGAAGGGAAGGAAGAAGGAAAGGAAGAAAGAAAAAAAAGAAAGGAAGAAAAGAAAACTTGAAAACTACGGCAGGAAAGGGCAACTGCTGGTGGTTTTTTTTTTTCTCTTTTTTCCCTTTTTGGGTCATACCCAGTGATGCTCAGGGGTTACTCCTGGCTCTGCACTCAGGAATTACTCCTGTCAGTGCTCAGGGGACCATATGGGAGGCTGGGAATTGAACCCGTGTTGGCTGTGTGCAAGGCAAATGCCCTACCCGATGTACTATTGCTTAAAACACCAGGCAGGAGGACGGGAGTCCCAGGAGAGGAAGCTGAGAGTTCAGAGGCACTGAGAAGGGACATTTGCAGTGCCTGAGAGGCTGCAGGGGGGCCCACACCCACATGTGCTCCTGGTTTTGTGGAAGCTAATCATCATCCGAGCTCACCCCTGCTGGGGTTCACAACCAGGAGCTTTATCTCATGCTTCCCAGGGAACCAGCTCACTCCTCTCTGTCCTCAACCAGCACAAGCACAACTGGACACAGTGGGTGCTGATGATGTGCCCAAGGTCAAAGTGAGTATCGCAGGTAGGGTGCATGCTCTGCCCTGAAGCCAAGGCAGACAAGCTGCCATGGGTGCTGGTAGTAGGAGCATCCGGGGTCTCAGCGGAAATCCTCTCATGGGGCACAGAGAGTGGGGCCAAAGGTGGCTGGACTGGCGTGAGAACTCATGGTGGGTGGGCAGGAATGGGCAGGCAGGGACAGGCTTCAGGGTTTGGAAAAAAATGGACCAGCTCCCTGCAACCAAGCAGTGATCCTTAACCCCCAACCCCAGGACAAACACCCCATCCCATGGCAGGATGTGCGAAACTGGAGGGAATCTTCTGGAACATGAAGCCAGGTGGTTTTCAGATGGTATCTTCAAGTGCCCTGAGGCCCTTAAGACAGGCTTCAGGGGCTGGAGCAATAGCACAGGGAGTAGAGCATTTGCCTTGCACGCGGCTGACCCAGGTTCGATTCCCAGCATCCCATATGGTCCCCCAAGCACCGCCAGGAGTGATTCCTGAGTGCAGAGCCAGGAGGAAACCCTGAGCATCAGCTGGGTGTGACCCAAAAAGAAAAAAAAAAAAGATAGGCTTCAAGGGACCGTATAGATAGCACAGTATAAAAAGGTAAAGGCCCTCCCGTTGATCATTGATTTGCTCAAGCGGGCCCAGTAATGTCTCCATTGGAGACTTTGTTGTTACTGTGTCTGGCATATCGAATACATCACGGGGAGCTTGCCAGGCTCTGCCGTGCGGGTGAGATACTCTCGGTAGCTTGCCGGGCTCTCCGAGAGGGGCGGAGGAATCAAACTGGGGTTGGCCATGTTGGCTGCGTGCAAGGCAAACGCCCTACCGCTGTGCTATCGCTCTAGCCCACAGTGGGTAGGGCATTTGCCTTGCACACAGCCAACCCAAGTTCGATTCCCAGCATCCCATATGGTCCCCTGAGCACCAATAGGAGTAGTTCCTGAGTGCAGAGCCAGGAGGAACCCCTGTGCATTGTGGGTGTGACCCAAAAAGAAAACAAAAAAGACATGCTTCAGGGACCACCTTGGGAAGGGGACTAAGCGCTGAGTTGCTTGAGGAAACCCCTCCCACACCTCCTCCAATGCCCCTCACTAAGTTTGGTTTATACGAACAAGTATTCACTATTATCTTGTTTCAGGAAATTATTAAAAACAAAACGTGGGACCAGAGTGATAGTCAGTGGGCAGGGCACTTGCCTTGCACAAGACAGGCCTGGGTTCCATCCCTGGCAACCTGTAGGGTCCCGGGAGCCTGCTAGGAGTGATCCCTAAGCACATCAGGGTGTGGACCAAAAAAAATAAAACCCCAAAAACAAAAACAAGTAAACAGCCAGAAGAGACGGCCCAAGGTTCAGAGGGTAAGGCATTTGGTTTGCATGCAGCTGACCCAGGTTCGATCCCCGACTTCCCATATGGTCCTCTGAGCACTGCCAGGAGTAACCCCAGAGCATTGCCCCAAAAAAGCCAAATACAAACAAACAAAGAGACAATACAAGGTTAAGGCATTTGCCTCATATGCAGCTGTGGTTTTAACTTTTTTTTTTTGGCTTTTTGGGTCACACCCAGCGATGCTCAGGGGGTTACTCCTGGCTCATGCACTCAGGACTCACTCCTGGCGGTGCTCGAGGGACCATATGGGATGCTGGGAATTGAACCTGTATGGACCATGTTGGCTGCATGGAAGGCAAACGCCCTACCCGCTGTGCTATCGCTCCAGCCCCCGCAGCTGTGGTTTTGACTCTGGTTTGGATCCAAGCACACATACAAGACCCCAAACACAGGGTTGGAGCGATAGTACAGCAGCAGGTAAGGCATTTGCCTTGCACGCAGCTGACCCGGGTTCGATTCCCAGCATCCTATATGGTCCCCTGAGCACCGCCAGGAGTAATTCCTGAGTGCAGAGCCAGGACTAATCCCTGTGTATCGCCAACTGTGACCCAAAAAACAAAAAAAAGAAAAAAAGAAAAAGACCCCAAACACCACCAGGTGTGGCTCCTGAGCACAGAACCAGGGGGTGCCTTAAGCAAAACAAAGCACCCCAAGGCTGGGGATCTCCCTCAAATGTCTGGAGGACTGATTCTGAATGTGGGAGGAGTTAGTCCCCTGTAGCCACCTTTAGCCACCTTCAGATCTAGAGCCAGGAAGATCCTAACACCCCTGGGCGTGTCCCCCAAGCACCCCCCCCCCCCCCTTCAGATAAATCCTAACCAAACACAGAGCCTCCCACTCGCAAAGCAGAGATTCATTTCCATCATTTGCTGATGGGGCAGGCGGAGCTGGGAGGGGCAGAGTGCTGAGCCAGGCCTCTCTGCAGGCAGGTGGTCAGGCCTGGACCAGATGGATGCTCGGGTGCCCAAAGCAAGGGGGTGTCAGCACACCCCAGTGATGGCCAGGCCTCAGAGCCGCCCTCACCGGCCACTGCCTCAACACAGTGATGTCTGCCAAATGGTCTAGAGCAGAGGCTCCATGCATGAACCCCTCCTTCCAGAGACCTGTGAGGGGCTTTCCTGGGGGCTGGGGTCAGTGCTGTCGTGGGGGGGCGGTGTTTAGTCCCCCTGGCTGGCTAGAAATGAAGGTGTCCGGGGGTGGGAGCGATAGTACAGAGGGTGACACACTTGCCTTGCATGAGGCTGACCCCGATTCAATCCCCAGGACCCCATATGTTTCCCCCCAAACCCCTCCAGGAGTGATCCCTGAGCACAGAGCTAGAAATAAGCCCTGAGCACCACCGGATGGGACCCCCAATTTAAAAAATTTTCAATTAAAAGAAGAAAAAACTCAGGTCTCTAAGTCTGTCTTTATTATTTTACCATTTTGTTATTACTATGTTAATCAAAATTATTTTCAAATCCTTACTATTTAATTAAAACATTCACTATTTTTATTGCTTTAATTCACTTATTTTAATGAACTTCATTATTTACTGAACTTACTTATTTACTGTTATTTTACTGTTCAAACATACGGAGCATGTTCCGAATCTGCCTGACCTTTGAGAAGGTGAGAGACCAACCAGCAGGCAGCCAGCCCTAAGCTGTGGACACAGGTTTTTTTGTTTGTTTGTTTGTTTGTTTCCTTTGAAGGGGCCTGACCATGCCCAGGTGTCAGTCAGGGTATTTTGGGGGACGGTGCTCAAGACTTACTCCTGGCTGGGCGCTCAGGGATCACTCCCCTGGGGCTGTGGAAACCATATGGAGTGCTGGAACTGAACCCAGGTGAGGCGGGCACAAGGCAAATGCCCTGTCCACTGTTCTACCTCCCCAGCTCCGTATCAGTGGCTATTCTTAGCTCTGTGCTCCAATGATCTCTAGAGGTGCAGGGGTACCATATGTGGTGCCGATTGGAACCGGGGTCTTCGGTATATATGACAAGCCCCTTCCCCTCCATACTAGCGGCCCCCAGGACTGTTCTTGGAATTCAAAAATTGTTGTGATGAGGCAGGAGAGCTAGGATGGAGGGTAAGGCGCTTGCCTTGCATGCTTCCAAGCCAGGTTGATACCCCCTGTACCCCAGACCCACCGGGAGTGGTCCCTGAACATGGCTGGGTGTGTCCCTCCCCCCAAAAAAAGTTTGGAATGGGGGCTGGAGCGATAGCACAGCGGGTAGGGCTTTTGCCTTGCACGCGGCCGACCCGAGTTCCATTCCCATTATCTCATATGGTCCCCTGAGGACCTCCAGGAGTAATACCTGAGCGCATGAGCTCCTGTGCATTGCTGGGTATGACCCAAAATGCAAAAAAAAAAAAAAAAAAAAAAAAAGGTTGGAATGCGGGAATGTGCCCCGGGGGCGTGGCTTACTCTGCCGTGGAGAAGGCCAGGGTGAAGTTGTGCCGGCGCTGCGCAGGGTCCAGCGCCGCGTAGTCGAAGGCGTCGGGGAAGAACTTGTGGATGAGCGCGCAGAAGGCCATGCCGCTGCTCCAGCTCGACGAGAAGTTCTGGATGTCCACGTGCTGCGGGCAGCCGCCGTGAACCGAGGGCCGACCCCCGTAGGCCCTGCACAAGAGGGGAGAGACCGCCCTCCCCGCAGACCCCGCGCGGCCCTGCCCCATGCCCACCTCGTAGTTTCTGGTCATGGCGCGGCACCACTCCAGCAGCATGCTCTTGACGCTGCCGATGGCCGCCCCCGCCGCCTTGGGGTTGCGGAACAGCGCGGTGGGGCCCGAGGCGGCCCTGAGCACCGGGAAGGGGGTGCGCATCAGGGGCGAGAGAACGGGGCGTGCGCATCAGGGGCCAGGGAAGGGGGTGCGCATCGGGGGTGCAGGGAAGGAGGTGCAGATGAAGGGTTCAGGGAAGGGGGTGCCCATCAGGGGTGGAGGGAAGGGGGTGCACATGAGGGGTGCAGGGAAGGGGTGGTGTGTATAGGGACCAGGGAAAGGGGGCTCATGAGGGGTACAGGGAAGGGGGTGCGCATGAGGGGTGGAGGGAAGGGGGTGCGCATGAGGGGTGGAGGGAAGGGGGTGCGCATGAGGGGTGCAGGGAAGGGGGTGCGCATGAGGGGTGCATAGAAGGGGTGGTGCGTATAGGGACCAGGGAAAGAGGGGGCTCATGAGGGGTGCAGGGAAGGGGGTATGCATGAGGGGTGCAGGGAAGGGGTGGTGCGTATAGGGACCAGGGAAGGAGGGTGTGCATGAGGGGTGCAGGGAAGGGGGGTGTGCATCAGGGGTGCAGGGAAGGGGTGGTGCATATAGGGACCAGGGAAGGAGGGGGCGCATGAGGGGTACAGGGAAGGGGGGTTCGCATCAAGGGTGCAGGGAAGGGGTGGTGCGTTTAGGACCAGGGAAGGAGGGTGTGCATCAGGGGCCAGGGAAGGGGGGTGTGCATCAGGGGCGATGCCACCTCCCCTCCCCCGTCTACCACACCTCCCCCTCCCTCCCCCCCCCCCCCAGTCCCGCTCCCCCTCAGGCCCTACCCGCCAAACTTGTCCACGATGGCTTTGCGGTTCTGTGCGCGGGCCCCACGCGGCCGGGAGGGGGCGCTCGCCCTGCGCTCCGGCGCTTTCTCCTTTTTCTTCTCCTGGGTGGGAGGCGGCTCCGTGGGACTCTGCGGCACATCGCTGGCAGAGGATTCACTGCGGGAGGGGACGGGGGTGGGGGGGTGGAGAGAGAGCACAGCGGGTAGGACCCGGACACGTATTCGATCCCCGCCACCCCATAGGGTCCTCCTCAGTCGGCCAGGTGTGATCCCTGAGCACAGAGCCAGGAATAAGTCCTGAACACCGCGGGAGTGGCCCCCAAACGAGACAAAACTGGTTTTTTTTTGGCTTTTGGGGTCATATCCTGCGATGCACAGGGGTTACTCCTGGCTCTGCACTCAGGATTTACCCCCTGGCGGTGCTTGGGGGACCACATGGGATGCTGGGAATCAAACCTGGGTTGGCCGTGTGCAAGGCAAACGCCCTACCCGCTGTGCTATTGCTCCAGCCCCCAACAAAACTGTTTAAACAAAAAACTGCATAGACCCAGAGACCCGTGAGAGCAGTGGGGCGTGGGCGGCCAAGGAGGTGTGCACAAGGGGGGGCGCCAGAGTGGAGTTGGAAAGGCATAAGGAGGCTTTCTCCAGCTCTAGGGGAGCAGGTGACCTGGGTTTGAATTCTGCCTTTGCCTCTTATTTGCTGGGTGACCTACCGACTGTTTCTCTTCTTTTCCTTTCCTTTTATTTTGCCTCTTTGGGTCACACCTGGTGATGCTCAATGGTTACTCCTGACTCTGCACTCAGAAACTACTCCTGGCAGTGCTCAGGGGACCATATGGGAATGCTGAGGACCGAACGCGGGTCGGCCACTTGCAAGGCAAACGCCCTACCTGCTCTACTGTTGCTCTGGCCCCAGGCCAAGCGCTTTAACCCCTGTGCTGTCTCTCGGGCCCAGGGATGCAGACTTGGAAGGGAACAGATGAAGGAAGGGGCCGTTGGGGGCTGAGCAGGGTGTGACGTTACCTGGCCGAAGGACTGGTCTGCCCAGAAACTGCAGCGTCTGGACTCAGCCCATCTGGAGGAAGAGAGCGGGTGGGAGGGAGGCTGAGGACGCTCCGTGCACGGGTCCCAGTCAGCAATGCTTGCTCGGGGGTCCGGGAGGCTCTCACTCACCTGGGCTGAGGCTGAACCCCTCCTCCGTGGGGCTCTCGGGCCACACCTCGGGGGAGCTGGGGACCCCTCCTGCCCCTTCCTCTGATTCTTTCTCCACACCCTGGACCCGCTCTTCATGGGGACCGTCTGGCTTCTGGAACAAACATCGTCTCTGTGGGCTCACAGGCACCTGCCCAGGCTTGATGAGAATCTCAGAAGGTTCTATAGAAGGCAGCTGAATGCTGCAGCCCCACACCCAGGCCCTTGGTAGCGATGGGAGGTAAGACTGGCCTTTGTCCCTGGGAATAAAGAAGGGGAACACTGGGCCGGAGAGAGCACAGCAGGGAAGGCTCTTGCCTCGCATGTGCCCGCCAGGATTCAATTCCCAGCCATTCCCAGACACATATCTGGGATGGACAGATAGTACAGCAAGGTTCCCCAAGCCTCTCCAGGACGGATCCCTGAACAGAGCCAGGAGTAAGCCCTGAGCACTGCCAGGTGTGGCCCCAAAGAACTAAATAAATAGACAAGGGGCCCCATAGTACAGCAGATAGGGCACTTGCCTTGCACATAGCCAACCTGGGTTCAATCCCCGGCACACCATAAGGTCCTTTAAGCCCCACCAGGAGTGATCCCTGAGCACAGAGCCAGGAGTAAGCCCTGAGCATCGCCGGTATGGCCTCCAAGGCAAAAATAAATATAGAAATGGGGCGAATTTATGGCCAGAGCTATAGTGCCGCTGGTAGAGCATTTGCCTTGCATGTGCTGACCTGGATTAGATTCCCGACATCCCATATGGTCCCCCGAGCACCGCCAGGAGTAATTCCTGAGTGCAGAGCCAGGAGTAACCCCTTGCACATCGCTGGGTGTGACCCAAAAAAGTAAAAAAAGAAAAAGAAAGGGTGGGGGGTGGCGGATTTGTTTCTGGGGGTGGGGGTGGAGGTCGGAGCTCCTAGAGACTGTGAGCATCCCAGCCTCCTCTCCCTGCCTGACTCACCACCTCCTCCTGGGAGCCCTCCTCCTTTGGCTGGGCCTGTGTGTCCCCAACACCGGTCTTCTCAGAATCTGCTGGGGCTGCGGGGGCCTCGACTTTCTCGGGGGCCCCAGCTGCGGGCTCCTGCTCTCCTAGGGCTGTCCTGGGCTCGGCCCTGGGCTCCTCATTCACGTCGGCCTCCTTCGATTTGGGGCTGGCCTCTTTCTCTGGAGTCTTCTCATCCCCCGCCGTGGGCGCATCCTGGGTGGCAGATTTGGTCTCGTCTTTGCTGTCACTCGTGTCCTCAGGAGCAGCCGTGCTCACTTCCTTTCCGCCGCCGTCTTCCTTGGGAAGTCCAGCCCCGATGCTGTCTCCTGCCTCTGCCTCGGCCTCCCCGGGCCCATTTCCCTCCCCGGAGGATTCAGCTCTGGGGCCGGTCTCCGCTGGCGCTCTATCCTGTTCCCCCGCCCCGCCGGCAGAGGGCGCTTTGCTGGTCCTCGCTGCCGAGTCTTTGGCCTCCTGCTCTGCAGAGGCTCCATCCCCCGACTTGCCCGGGTCCTCTGTGCAGGGGGAGAGGGCCGTCCCATCCTCACGAGGCGTTGCTTCCTTCTGCTCCATCTCTGGAAAGAGAGGACAGGCAAGGCCAGTGATTCCCTGAGCCTGAAGGTGGAGGTGGTCCCTGGCCAGCAACTGGAGCCCTGGATAAAGGAGAGGGTGTTGGCCTGGCATGCGGCGGACCTAGGTTCAATCTCCGGCATCCCCATATGGTTCCCCACACCCCCCCAGCACCACCAGGAGTGATCCCTGAGTGTAGAGCCAGGAGTAGCCCCTGGGTGTGATCCCTTCCCTCCAAAAAAGGATGGGAGTAGAGAACCCTGCCTCCTCCCCGCTGTCCCGCATCGGATGGCTGAGACACACTGACTGCACGTTGGGTGCTGTTTATTTTATTTTATTTTATTTTTTTGCTTTTTGGGTCACACCCAGCAATGCTCAGGGGTCATTCCTCGCTCTGCACTCAGGAATCACTCCTGGCGGTGCTTGGGAGACCATATGGGATGCCGGGGATCGAACCCAGGTCGGCCGTGTGCAAGGCAAATGCCCTACCCGCTGTGCTATCGCTCCGGCCCCGGGTGCTGTTTATTAAAGTGGTCTTTGGGGGCTGGAGCGATAACACAGCGGGTAGAGTGTTTGCCTTGCACGCGATCGACCCGGGTTCCAGTCCCAGCTTCTTATATGGTCCCCTGAGCACCACTAGGAGTAATTCCTGAGTGCATGAACCAGGAGTAACCCCTGTGCAATGCCAGGTGTGACCCAAAAAGCAAAAATAAATAAATAAATAAATAAATAAAAGGGGAAAAAGAGTGGTCTGTGACCTGGCTTTGGTGTTAAGCGACTCTGGGTGCCAGGCAGTCTCTCCCCATCCCCATCTTTAAAAATACATATAAATATATATATTGTTATTGTTTTGTTGTCATTGTCGTTGGCTATGCCCAGTGGCACTCAGGGCTTACTCTGGGCTCTGCCAGGCCTGATGACCAGATGTGGTGCCAGAGATCAAACCAGGGCTGGCCACGTGCAAGGCGAGCACCTTAACCCCTGCGCCGTCTCTCCCCTCACCTGTGTTTCTGTTACCTGGGATCAGCCGAGGTCTGAAAATATTCTGTACCATGTTTCATGTTTGCTTTTTTTGTTTTGTTTTGTTTTGTTTTGCTTTTTGGGTCACACCTGGCGATGCTCAGGGGTCACTCCTGGCTCTCAGGAATCATTCCTGGTGGTGCTCAGGGGACCATATGGGATGCTGGGAATTGAACCTGAGTCCGCTGCAAGCAAGGCAAATGCTCTAACCGTTGTGCTACCGCTCCAGCCCCACCTCTGGTTCTTGAGAAGGGCCAGCCTGGCCGCTAAAGCATTTTCTTCGGTGCAGAATAGAAACTGCTCCCGCTAACTGTGACAGGGAAATCTGACCTTCCGGCTCTCTGGGGACAGGGCGAGGGGAGATTATCACTCTCATTGGGGTTTCCTATTCCAGCACTACATGTACTCTAGGATCTCCAAAGACAGCTGGGCGGGGTCCCCTCCTCCAGCCCTCTGCCCTTTCGGGGGTCTGTTGGCAAAGAAGACAATCCCCATAGGCTTCGGGGCATGACTCAGGCATCAGACAAGCCGACACGCGTGTCATGGCCTATAAATACTTCCTGCCCTCCTGGTGCTCCTCTGGGACACCTGGGTGACCGGGACAGAAGACAGAGGTGGGTGACAGCACGGGAGTGACTGGAGCTTTCTGCTCCTGCCACCGCCCCGTCCTGCACTAGCTGTGCCCCGGCCTGACTCCTGGGGTGCCTGGATCTGGCACCCCTACTCTTGTCTTTGTAAGGATCTGACTCTCGCAGGCCCCCTACACCCCAGAGCCCCTGGAGGGTTCCGCAGCCCCCTGGAGGGAGCACGTGAGCCCAGAGGCGGGGACCCCTCTGCAGGGCTGCCCTGGACGCCCATCTGACTCACTCAGGCTGGAACTCATCCCTCTGCCTCTCTGGCCTTCGTTTCCACCAACAGGACTGAGCTAGGTCCGGTTTTCCACGCGGTGTCTGTGGCAGAGGAAGGCTCCTGAGATATTAATAGGGCGCGGGGGTGGGGGGGGGTAGTCTCCGACTGCAGCTGTTCCAGGAATAGCTTCTTGCCACCACCTCAGCCCCTGCGAAGCCGCACGCCCCAAGGTAGAGAAACCTGTAGCTGCTCGGCACACTGTGCTCACTTGCCCCAGTCTATGCGACCACAAGTTTTCCCCTTCCTTCCTTCCTTCCCTCCCTTCCTCCCTCCCTTTGTCCCTTCTTCCCTCCCACCATCCCTCCCTCCTTCCCTTCCACCATCCTTCTTTCCTCCTTCCTTCCTTTCCTCCTCCCTTTCTCCTTCCCTTCATCCCTTCTTCCCTCCCTTCTTCCCTCTCTTCTTCCCTCCCTCCTTCCCTCCCACCATCCTTCTTTCCCTCCCTTCCTTCCTCCCTCCCTCCTTTCCTTCCTCCCTCCCTCCCTTCCTTCCTTCCTTCCTTCCTTCCTTCCTTCCTTTCCTTTCCTTTCCTTCCTCCCTCCCTCCCTTCCTTCCTTCCTTCCTTCCTTCCTCCTTCCCTCCCTCCCTCCCTCCCTTCCTCCCTCCCTCCTTCCTTCCTCCCTCCCTTCTTCCTTCCCTCCCTCCCTCTTTTCCTCCCTCCTTTCCTCCCTTCCTCTTCCTTCTGTCCTGGGAAGCATCACTGTCTTCTGAGCAGTGCTGTGTTCAGTGGAAGGAAGTCTAGCCATGCTTCCTTGTTTGTCAGGTGAGCTCTACTAGTGGTGATTCCCAGCATCCTCCCAGCTTCTGCTGTAAGCCATTCCTGCTGGTGCCGGGTGCCCACGGCCATCTGGGTGCTGGGGTGAGACCAGCGTTGGCTACAAACAAGACAAGTGCCCTGTACCGTCTCTCCAGCTCTGACCAAGACACCTGCCTTTCCTAGGTTCCGAACTCTGGACAATAGGTGCCATCCCCGAGAGTTGAGGGAAGACCAAGGAGCTATGCGGCTTGCAGAGAACACTCAGTACACGACATAGCACTGGGCCAGATGAAGGCCCCCAGTTGGCCACGAAGGCCTTCACTGGGTAAGATTAGGCAGAGAGTCCTGAACCCCAGGGGGATGAGATCAGCCTCAATGTGTGGTAGTAGCTTGCAAAGCTTTGTTCCTTTGCCATGTACTTAGGAGTGGTGGGAAGGGCAGCTGAACACACACACACACACACACACACACACACACACACACACACACACACCACATGTTCATCACGAACCCCAGAATGCCAATACCCTCGCTGGCACCCCCCACCCCTGGTACAATAACAACAGCTGGGTACTACTCACCCCACAGTATCCTGCCTTCCCTTTCTCTGTCTTTGGAATCAGCATGACGGGTCCCATTTTACAGATTGGGAACTGGAGGCTCAGGGTGAGTTGAATCATCGGCTACTTAAATGGCTAACGCAGACCTGGAACCCAGATCTCTGGGAAGCCAGTCCAAGCCCAAGCCCAGGCCCAGGAGGCTGCCCTGCTCCCACCCTCCCAGCTCTGGAGCTCCCTCCAAGGCCCAGCTGGGGCAAGGGTGCCCTCCTATATAGCTCGAGCACTTCAGCTATATATGGGTCAGCAAAGGGTCAGCACTTCTGGACCCTTTGAGAAAATTTCTCCATCTTGTTTTCCCTCCCTCCCTCCCTCGCTTCCTTCCTTCTTTCCTTCCTTCCTTCCTTCCTTCCTTCCTTCCTTCCTTCCTTCCTTCCTTCCTTCCCTTCTTCCCTATTCTCTCCTTCCCTCCTTCCCTCCTTCCCTCCTTCCTTCCTTCCTTCCTTCCTTCCTTCCTTCCTTCCTTCCTTCCTCTCTCCTTCCTTCCTTCCTTCCTTCCTTCCTCTCTTCTCTCCTTCCTTCCTTCTTTTCTTCCTTCCTTCCTCCCTTCCTTCCTTCCCTTCTTCCCTATTCTCTCTTCTCTCCTTCCTCCCTCCCTCCCTCCCTCCCTCCCTCCCTCCCTTCCTTCCTTCCTTCCTTCCTTCCTCTCTTCTCTCCTTCCTCTCTTCTCTCCTTCCTCTCTTCTCTCCTTCTTTCCTTCCTTTTTGATGCAGAGGGGAGTGGGTTATTTCTGGCAGTGCTGAGGGGCTGCTCCTGGCTCTATGCTGATTCTGGTGGTGCTCAGGGGACAGAGATGGGACAGGAAACAGCCACATGTAAGGCAACCGCCTGCAGCCCAGTGCCCTCTCTACTCCTCTCTCTCCCACGCTCCCACCGGCCCGGCAGCACTGCAGACAGAGGCCACACTGCCGCTCTCTCTATTTATCTTGGCTGACCAGGAGGAGAGGAAGCCCGGAAGTCCTGTTCAGAGCCCCAGCTGGTCTGGTGACAGTGGCTCAGCTGACAGCTCCACCACCAGCCGCCCCCCAGTGAAGCTGCTCCGCAGAGAAGTCCCACTCACCCCCTTCCAGAGTCTGTGTCCCTCCCCGCCGGTGGCCAGTAGCCTGCCCTCTGCCCTCCCTGCCCCCGTGAGGCCCTTCGAGGACGGCCACCTGCAGGCTCCACTCTGGGGGGTGTCCCGTGGCCCAGCACCCCAGGCCGAGAATTGCCATAGCGGTGGAGAGAACTGGAAGGAGGCTGGGGCCCACTGGGAGGTCGAAGGTGGGTTGGCAGCTGGAGGGGGCCCGCAGGAAGGGGGGGTCCGTGTTTCTCCTACCTGTGGGGCCTCAGCTTGGGGGCTGGGGGCTGTGTCCTTCCTCCAGTTGAGCCGCCTTCCTCCCCGCCTGCCTTTAAGCCCCTAGCTCTTCCCTCGCCCCCCCCTCCCCGACCCCACCCCCCAAGAGCATTGTTTACCGCCTGGTTGGTACAACACTGGCTCCCCCCCTTA